GGGGTGATGCCCCACTTGTTTGAACGGACTCCTCTTCATAGGTGCACTGACGAGGAAAGAGCCAGGGAATAGGGAGCCTTCAGTGTCTGAGAAAAAGGGAGTGAAGGCTGTACTCCTGTGGTGAGAGAAAGGATGAGTAAGGGATGAGAGCGTGGGCAGCATTTAGCGGGAGATGAAAGAGAGGGTGGGATCTGGGTGACGGCAAGGTTCCAGGCATCAGTGTTTAGGGGATTGTCTGGGTGGAAAGAGCACTGCATTGGTTTATCGCCAACTGGCTTTCATGGCTGGGTTGCCTTGGGTGAGTCACTGTTTCTCTGAGTCTCCGTTTGCCCATTTATAAGATGGGTTGACAGTTCCTGTTCTTGCTACCTTGTGAGCTCTTAGGAGAGTGACAGGAGATAATGCAGATGCAAGTGCTCTGAAAGCCATCAAGCTCCGTGTGGTTCTGGAGGCTGGTGAAGGGAGACTGACGGTGCCGATGAGAAGGGAGGCGCCTGGGAGGGGAAATGTATTACCTGGGAGATGCTGAATATTTCAGATAATATGTTTCAGATAATACTTCATATAACAAGTTATAACTCATACTGAGTATACAGTAGTAGCTTCCTGATAGTCACCTGCTAAGGAGATTTTTATTTCAAATATGCTTTCTCAGGTGTTCTGTTTTTGGTGGTGTAGGTCCATGGTCTTTCCCCCAGGTAGAGGGGGCTTGAGTGAAACGAGGCTGGTTCTGGATGAGAAGGAAGGGCCCTGCCTAATCTTTTTGACTTCCTCTTACAGCCTGTAATGGCCTCTGTTTGGGGGCACTGCAAGTGACAGTTTTTCTTAAGGGTCTCAAGCCCCACTCCCACTCTAGTCTCACCACCTGTGATCTCCAATATGCATTTCCAAAGTAACACATCCACAGTGGAACTCTGGTTCCTGTCCCATGCTAGCATTCCAAGGATGTGACTAACCTATTTTGCTTGATTGAGAAGACAGTGGGAAACTTCTCAGTTAAACCTGCAATAGGCTGTTTTATCTGAGTAGCCAGAATCCCTCCAAACTGGAAATTATGCTGTAGAGGAATCCCTTTACCTTTTCAGGCAAATAGACTTAGCTCTTCAAATACATTTCCCCTTTATTCAGGACACATGCAGCCATGC